CACCAACTCAAACAACAATTTGCATGAATTCACTTATACTTCTCCATATTTCTTCAGAAAACAATTTTTTATCATTCTCTTCAATATTTACAAAGCTCTGTCATTTTAAACCTCATCTTCTATGCTGTTCCATAATCTTATTCCCTGGATTAAAGTGGATCGCTCCTTCAGGCTCGTACGAACCCAAGGTTTCACAAACATTTCAATCCTTTTAAGATAAAAACAGCTCTCTCTTTTAACCAAATTTACTTGAATGTTGGAAGGTAACACACCTTTATGAGCTCTGTACATTAATAGCAAAATATTATAATCAACCAAGTCATAGAATTTTAATAATTTCAATTCATGAAACAATATATTTGATGGATGACTGTAATTTTTTGTAGTAATTCTTAGAGCTCTTTTCTGTAAAATAAAAATAGATTTTGTGATAATTTTGCAAGCTTTACCCCATACTTCAATACAGTAAATAAAATGTGGAACAATTATAGCGTTATACAACATAAATAGTGCTTTATCATTGAACAGTTTTCTTACTTTGTACAGGACTCCAATTGGTTTGGCTATTTTTGTTCTTAAATTATTTATATGATTTTTCCATGTCAGTTTTTCATCAATGACACCTAGAAACTTCACTTCACTGACTCTACAGATCTCTACATCAATTTTAAATGAAACTTCTACAGTTCTCTTACTGTTACTGAAAATCTTACAATTTGTCTTGTCCAGGTTTAATGATAATTTAATTTAGTTGAAACCAACTTTGTATTTTCACAAATTCTGTCTGTACCATCTCCAACATTTGTTCTATATCATTACCAGAACAAAAGAATGTTGTGTCATCAGCAAATAGAAAACTCCCAAAAAGTCCTGACACATTGACCAAATCATTCACGTACAAAACAAATAAATTAGGTCTGAGAATGGAACCCTGCGGCACTCCACGAGATGAGATTTTGTTGAAAGGTTGAGCACAGTTACTGTACAATTACACTGCTGTCAGCTTTGGATTACATGTTTCTGTCAGAAACATTATAACACTCCTGTCAGAAGTGCTCCAGTCTACACTAAATGTGCTAAAGGGAGCTGCTGCTTCTGCTGCTTGCTTCTGCAAACAATGGCACAAATCTACATAATTAACTATGCAATGTGAAACTGACTGATGTAAACAGTTTGAAAAAACATTTTTGTATTGTTTTATTAGATGAAATGTGTTTTGTTTATTTTTAATGAAATGAAAAAATGTTTAAATTTTAATTAAAAAAAAACCTTTTGCACAAGCCATGATGAAATAACTGAGCTTTGGGTTGTCCTGATGCATCTCAGTATTTTTTCCTTTTGATTACTTTCATTGTGCAGCTTTTTAGTGTATTTACTATTTTTACCCTATATATTTAAAGCTTAAACTGTACAAACCATAAAATTAAAAAAAAAATCAAACAAAGCCTAAAGTTAAGCGTAAAACATCAAGACCTGTAGTCCAGCAGAGACTCTCCCTCACCCCTCAGAGCACACACACCCAGAGAATGGTCCTTGAGTTGAAGCCAGCGCTGGAAAGCAGAGCGGCTGAGAAAGCACCTCGTTACCYCAAGTGATTACAGTAGAGAGGAGACCCCACCCACCACACCACTTTTCTCAGATAACAGCCTCGTTGTTGGGCGCAGAAGCCAAACAAAGACGACCCTGTCTCTTTCCTCATTCTGCTCTCTGTATCTGTTTCCTCTGTGGTCAGCCAAAGATACCTGAAGCCCTCCCTCTGCCTGGCCCGCCTCCCATCCCTCCATCCTCAGCTCTGTCCTGAACATAATCCTGAGGAAACATAGCTGATTAGGGCTGTGTGTTGTTGGCAGTGTTGTGACCGGATCAAAAACAACTTGGTTGGTACCCTACCACCGAGATTACTGAATCTATTTAATATTTTTGATACYATCAAGTCCTGAGCCAAGTTACACAGACTGGGAAACACTTCCCACTCATTGTTCACCTGTTTGGTACTTAGGGTTAGGGTTAGAGGTAGCTAATTAAACTACACATTACAAATAAGTGAGTTTAAACGTGTACAACTCTTGTTGTAACTTTATTCTTTGGTATTTTATTTATTTATTTATTTATTTGTCTCTCTCAACCAGGACGGCATTATCTCAGTGAAGGATATTGATCTGGTGATGTCAGAGGGACTGGGAATGCGTTACGCATTTATAGGCCCCATGGAAACAATGCACCTGAATGCAGCCGAAGGTAATCTTCCCTATTTGGACTTTCTGTTAACACAAACAGAAGGTCACCCTCCCAACAATAACAACCTTAAAGCACATAGAAACRTGTTAAAAGATGAGTGTTTTCTCATTTACCTTCTGTATATCAACTGATAACTGGTATAAGTGCTACTTGTTTCCCAGCTTAAATTTGGTTCTGTAGAATTTCAGGTGTTTTGTTGATTTAAGCAGGATTGCAAACAWTGTGTGGTTATAAATGTCCAGTTTGGGGCCCTGAAAACATCAGTGACACAATCCAACATACGTGTTTCGTCTCTACTGTGATGCTGCTGTGGGTGCGTCACACTGAGAGTGAAACCTTAGGGAGATGGAGAATATCAAAGGGTAGTGTGAAAACACGCACGCACGCACACACACACACACACACACACACACACACACACTTGTTCTTCTATCCT